AATTCTGAGTTTGGAATGCTTTCAGTTTAATTTTCATGTGACCCAGTTTATTGCAGAAAAAATATTATTTTGATATAAGAATTAGAACACAGTTGATGTCATAAATACTATTGTATTTTGCCAGTTTAAATCTGCATTTTGCCTTATATGCTAAAATATTAGGTATGCAATATATCTTGGAAATAAGCAGAGCATCCATGATTTGAGTCAGCTAGTTAAGCTAAATACAGTAGTTGATTCACTAAGACTGAAGCTGATTGAATAAAAACTGTGGATGCAAAACATCCATTAAAATTACTGAATTTCTTTGTTTCAATTTCTTTGTTTGAATTTTCTCCTGATTCAGTGCATCGGCTGGATGTTAACTACTGCAGCATTCTCAAGACGGCATAGAATAAAGTATATCCTGAGCAATATATTGATCAGAGATGGAGTTGCTGGCTTCCTGAATGACAAGTATCTGATTTAGCTATGCTCATCTTTTAGCATCATTTTAATTATCTAATGAAACAGAAGAAATGAAGTAGCTATCTAATTTTGTCCTCACAGTTAACTCAATTAGAAATGTAGTTTTGGATAGGATTTTAAAAAATGAAAATGGTAAATTAAGCAAATGAATAACTTCTTTCAATACAGACAAGGCATTGTTCTTCAGACAGCTGAATAAAGGAAGACGATCATGACTTGGAAACAATCAATAGTTCTTTGTTAACAAATTACTTTTTAAAATTTAATATTATCCCATTGGTAATTCATACACTTAAAGTGAAAGTCAAACAAGGGTTTTATCTGGAGGAGATCTTGCTTTTCCAGGTGAATAGTTTTTTACACATGAGGCAAAAGAATATTTATTTCTTCTGTGGCTCAGTAAACTGTGGAGTCACTTCTGGCCTGGACAGATCACTCATAATTTCAGGTTGTTGTTTTTTAAGTTGTAGCTAAACTTGTGGTCCAGCATTTTGAATTACTATATTCTCCAACATTTTTAGAATTGTCAAAACTAACATATTATTTTTATTCTTTTTGCACATTTTGAACACAATGAAAAAAAGCAATCTGCTGCAAAATGAACTCATTGTTGATTAGTAACATGTATTAATATTTAAAAGAAAACAGATAATCCTTTGATTCAGTGAATATTATATTCTGCTATTCAATCATGAAATTGAAATTATTGGGATTTTTTCAGCCCATTCAAGATTTTCCATTTCAAACTCTTACTTTATTTTGCAGACGTTAAAATAGAAGAATAATATGGCAGTTTCCTCCCATGCCACAAATTAAATTGCCCTCAGGTTTTTGTTTTAGTTTTAGATACTGTTTGTTAAATGATGGAAAAAAAAGTAGTTTTGTCAGAATAATTTTATCCCAGCTTCAGCTAATCACTAACAATTAGTTAAGCAACACAAACCCTAACTGTAATAATATTACTTATGTCCTACTTTGATAGTCTGCCCTGCTTGCCAAAATGTCAAGTAGGAAATTTAAAAGCAAAATACTAAATAATTTATGAATATTTGGCAATTCCTTGGAGTTTTGTCTCTTGAATTCTAGTATTGGGTGGAGGTGCGTTAACATTCTTTCAGTCTTGTTTCCAACCATCCCGGAACACTGAAATTGATTCTCCACATTTATAAACTTATCTTACCATCAAAGCAATTTTGTTGTCAAAATTAATAGTAGCCGAACTGAATGTACAGTAACTTATTACGAACAACTGGCATAGAGAGGTAGAATTAGATCCAACTCTTTAATTCCTAGTTAAGGATTGCATTTTATGAAATGAGTTCTATGAAGCTGATATTGAGACATTCCAGTTCTCAGATCTAAGAGAAGAATAAATTCAGCTTTCAGCTTTAAAGACTGTAGATAGCTTGAATGAATGTGTTTCCTGATATAGCTATCAGTCAGCTGTAATCCCAGTGTGCAGGCTAAGACTAAGTTTCTACTGCAGCTGCCATTTCTCTCTCTATAATTTCTCTTCTTACAAACATTGAATGAGAGAGGAAGACATATAAGGAAAATGGACAAGTATGAAAATTTTACTCAGTTGTTCTCACTACATGTAAGTTCACAAGGGAGGAAGCTGAGGAAGTTTGCATTTGTCCATTGCTTTGTCACAAATCTTATAACATGTATATCTACTACAGATATTTGTTGATTTATATTGTTTTCATTGAGCCCTCACGGTTGACTTTAGTCAGATATGATATCATTACAATTTTTTTCAGATTTGAAAGGAAACTTCACTATAAATCCAGAAGAAATTGATCAATGTTTTTCAAATTTATTGTAAGGGCAAATTCTAAATTCATGTTTATGTCTTCCTGTTTTTATACAGTGATTATAACCTAAATCTATAATTTATATAACAAATTAGAATAATAAATAGAGAGCCAGTATGGTTTAGTGGTTAAGGCACCATATTAAAAACTAGGAGACGGTGAGTTTTAGTCCTACCTTAAGAAAAGGAAAAAGTCCTGTACTTCTTCTCCTTGCACTTTTCCAAACTTTTGCGGTAATTCTATGTATAAGTGCTATTGAGGAAGATCTATGACAATTTGTCATGGCCAACTCACCATAGCCCACTCGCCACAAGATAATTTGCTGTGGGACAAGAGTTACACTAATATTAAAGAAATGGTGGAATAATTAAAGAAAGGATTTAAAAGGAGAGACAGAATGAAATGTGAATGTCAAAAATTAAAATATTTTTATTTATTTTGAATAATTAAACTGAATTGTTAAATTGCCCTATGGCAAGTTGGCCTGCGGAGAATTGGCCGTGTCAAATTGTTCCATAGCAAGTTGGCTATGGCAAGCTGGCTGCAAGCGAGTTGGCCATGGCAAGTTGTCCCATTCCTTATTGGAGATGCTATACCATGCTAATTTCCTCACCTCAGATATAGCAGTTTCTTCTTCCATTTCCCCAGAATTTTACCACTAGTCTTTTTTTCTTTTAAGTGAAGCTTTTTTCTATTCAGGAAACGAAGCAGTTAAGGCATGGCCAAATCTATGTGCCAAAGACATCTCATTCCTATATGACAAAGGACAGCTTCCCCTTTTATAAGTTGACTGACAGTCAGATGCTATCACACTGTCAGTAAATGTGGGGTGGGATTTGCAGACTGCACATTCATGACAAACACTCTATGTATACTATTCGATAAAGACTTACAAATAGGTAACCACTTGACAAAACTGTAATTTAAAAACTGTCAAGATAGGGAAGGCTTGAGAGGAGCAGGGCCAGGTGAGACATGCCTGTGCAATCAAAAGATAAATTCTTCATGCTTACTAGGAAGTTGCAAATTACAATCTGAAAAAGTACAGAATCCATTGTATATCTGTACCATGACTACAATGAAGAAACTAATGCTCTGTTGAGAACAATTTTTGATTGATCAAATATTTTTAGAACTGCTCTTCAAATTGCTTCAGAGGTGGAACAGACACTTCAAAGTAGTTTTCATATATGTATTACTAAGATGAGATTTCTGAAAATATCCCAAATAATGAAAATTTACTCTATGAAAGCATATAGTAACACTAGCTTCTAAAATATTTCAGCATGTGGTAGCATTTCCTTATTTCCCATATGCTCAATGTAATATAAAACATAATTTTACAAAATCTTTCAAGTATTTGGCTAAGAGATTATGTTACTCTATAAAACATACGCACACAACTAAAATACCATCTATATAGACTCATGTTATAGTATGTCCGCACTAATCTTCCTCAGACAAGTTATTTAGAAGCTTAGTTTAAATAAATTGTAAACCACCAAGCATTTATTTGTGAAAATGGTTCATAAAACTCCTTGTTTAAATACTATGGGCATGTCAAGAGTCATAATTAGAATATTATCACTGAAATCAAGTGAGGCTTATATTAATCATGGACCTTCACCCTAATAAAACTCTCTTGGTTAATACCATGCTAACAATGAGTTCAATAATAAGAGGACATGTAGAAAATAGATTGTTGGAACCATAATCAACATTTCTCTAATACAAACTGAGTCTGGAATTTTTATGAATATTGTATAAGAAACGTTCCTGTGATAGATCACACCATTTGTCTATCTTCCCATATTTAATTTGATCTGCAGTCTTGTGAATCTTTTCTATAACTACTAATCCTGGATTTTACCACTGAGCTATGTTTTCACCTCAAAATACTATAGAAAGGCAAAAAACAAAATTCTAATTCAGGATGTGAAAAGGATATAAGAATGACATCATAGCATAAAAGAACTACACTTTTGGAGATCAAATGTCAGGCCTTTGAGGTAATTCAAACAAGAAGCAGAAACCATGAGTACTAAAATGATTTTTATTGTAAGATTAGGGTAACAGAATCTTGCAAATCTGAAAGTACTTATTTCCTCCTTTACCTTTACTATCCAAAAAACTAGGGAGCATCCTTTCTGAAACACATCCCACTTCCCATCTGTTGTTATGGACTGACATACTTTTTGCATGATGCTAGGCTAGTCTATGGCTCTTCCTCATGCCTCCCAAGGTCATTCTCACATACTGTTAAAATAATATAGTTCACACAAAATCAGCCCAATTCATTTAAAAGTAATCACAGTTAAGGATGAAGCCTTATAAGGAGACACATTGTAATACTGTAGCTCTTATTTCATAGATTTTTTTTCAGTAATAATTATTATTTAGTCATTATTAAGTGACTTCACTGATTCAATAATACTTGATCACAGCTGACTTCAGCCAGATATTATATCATTACAATTTTGTTCAGATTTGAAAGGAAACCTCACTATAAATCCAGAAGAAATTGATCAATGTTTTTCAAATTTATTGTAAGGGCAAATTCTAAATTCATATTTATGGCTTCCTGTTTTTATACAGTGATTATAAATGTAAATCTATAACTTATATAACAAATTAGAGTAATAATTAGAGAGCCAGTTTGGTTTAGTGGTTAAGGCACCGTATTAAAAACCAGGAGGCTGTGAGTTTTAGTCCTACCTTAAACATGAAAGCCAGCTGGGTGACTCTGGGACAATTACTTTCTCTCAGCTCAACCCACCTTCACAAGGTCGTTTTTGTGGGGAAAATAGGAGGAAAAAAGAGTATTAAGTATGTTTGCCACCTTAAATTATTTATAAAAATATAGACAGGAAACAGACAAACAAACAAATAAGGATAGATCTTATGCAAACATTTTTAAGAGGGCTTGAACTTGTCGAGTTGTCCAATCTTTGAAACTTTGACTTTGAATTACAAGAAGTTTGGAAAAAAACAGATAACACCAAAAATTTACTTTTTTATAGAGTGTAGATTCATAGAATTAGTCACAGTTGTCAAAAGAACTGATAAAAAACAATTCAACCAAGAACCGGGGTGGCGCAGCAGTTAGAGTGCAGTACTGCAGGCCACTTTAGCTGACTGTGTTCAGCAGGTCAGTGGTTCAAATCTCACCGGCTCAAGGTTGACTCAGCCTTCCATCCTTCCGAGGTAGGTAAAATGAGGACCCAGATTGTTGGGGGCAACGTAAATGTATATATATATTGCTTACTGGTGTATACCGCTTAGAGAGTGCTTGCACTTAAAGCGGTATATAAGTCTCATAAATAAATAAATAAACCAAGTTCCAATATATTTTAAAAATGTAGATCTTTTTAAATTAACTTACATTACAACAGAGCATAGTATATTGTTATTACTAATCATTTTCAAGTTTTAGAACTTTGAATTATTATAGAGAAGACACATGCAGTGCTTGTTATTATTCACCTTCAATACTCAATACATTGGCTGAAGAACATATTTTGTTCTGTAGATATTGTGGGGCTATCTGATTAAGGCTGCAAATATCCAGATGACTGCTAGACAGCAGCAAACACATTCTTCTATATCTTCTTGTTACCACTTAGTGGCTGTCAAGATTTTTTTTGCAACCCAGATCTGTTAAACATAAGAAAGCAGCAATACAATTGCTATGCAAACAAATTACAGAAAATGTTCAGTATCAATGCACTTCTACTTTACATACATGTATAAAGAGTTATGTTTCCTTTATTTAAATTATATGCTGCCTATGTCATTATCTAAAGTAATTCAGATTAAAGGGATTTGTTTCTAAAATACTATCAAATTTCATGTAATCTATATACAAATCTGTTTATGGACACGACTGAAAATGATTGGGACTTTAAAGGTATCAATGGGACCAAAACAACTAGACAAATCACTTAATTTCACGTCAATTCCACTCCACAAGGCAGGAGTTCTTCAATTCTGCAAAAGCAAGAGCCCTTAAAATGGTAAATTAATTTATATAACTCCACTTCTTGATGAATAAAAACCTAATAATTTTATTATGGATAGGGTTGGAATCTAATAAAGCCAATTAGCCATGACTAGATTGTTCCAGTGATGGAGCAAAAGTGAACATATCTTCATTTAGACCTAAACCAATATTTAAAATGAAGAGCTTTCTTTAATACAAATTATTTTATTAGATATTCTTATTTAGCAATTTAAATTATTTCCCAAATTGTAATTCTGCTTATATAATTGAAAATATGTAGCCTGTAGCAATGCAATTTATAAGGAAAAAAATTACCATCTATTGCAGTTTCAGCTTCCAAAGTCCGATCAAAAGCTTATCCTATGAAAATTATTTAATTCTATTGACATAAAACATAATGAACATCAAAGAAAAACATCACATCATTTTTAATAAATATGATATGAAAGCTTTAACTACAACTCAAGTCTTCTAGCTGGCTACTATAATTGGAATTATGCTATGTTTCATGTCAGATGGAGACCTCCCATTTTTATGGTCACATGAGAAAAAAATGGCTCATTAGCTTTGGGCAAACAGAAACAATAGTGTAGGTCAGGGGTAGGCAACCTCGCTCTTTTATGATTCATGGACTTCAATTCCCAGAATTCCTGAGTCAGCTATGCTGGTATAGGTCTAATGTTTTGGCTCATATTAAAGAGAGCATGATCTATCTACCATATCTCCTCCTCCATTTCCTCAAATTACAAATGATTTGCAAATAAAATTAGCATAAATTTGACAATGTATTGTATTGCATTAATATCCAATCTCCATGCCACTTCTGTCCTCTTCTTCAATGAAGGCAAACACTCTACTATTTTACAGCAGTTAGTATGATTAAATAATACCCCACAGACATCTTTCATTTCATTTGGGTTAGGGATGTATGTTATTAAGCAAAGATTTTAGTAATTCAATCTCTCCTTCCAGTTTGGATAAAGGTACTTTGATATCTAAAACAAAGAACAAACTAGTGATTCCTGCCGCAAAGTTCTACCTTTGGCATGAAAACTGACTAATGACTTTGAGCTGGTCACTCTTAGCCCAACTCACCTCACAAATGTATTGTTGTGGGGAAAATAGGAGGAGGAAGGAGTATTACATTTGTTCATCACCTTATTTACTTATAAAATAATGCAGACAGGATAAAATGTTTAAGGATTTCAAAATTGGTTTCAGTTTTTTTAAAATGCATAGATAAAATAACATGTTATTTTATAATTAAATAACTTTCTAGGATTAAGAGGTAAAGGATGAAGAAGAGAGTTTCTAACGTTATATAAATGTTTGAATTGTTTTAATTATTTAATTTTCCATTGCTAAAGATTTTGTATGAAACAGACTTAAAACAAAAACTGGAAGACAAAGAGTTTACAGTACTATTCTTCCCCAAAACAATTTATCTGTATGAAACTCTTGCAAAAGAACATTATAAAAGCACTAAACACCCAGTAAATTAAAATAAGTAAAGGTTTCTAAAATGCAGTGTTAGCATGTACTGTATGCTTGAAAGAAAATAATAATGTTTTTTTAAATAAAAGGACTGCAGTATAAACTTCATACTCTCAGTGGGCTGTGAAAAAGGTTGATGCCTTTTTATATGGGTATCCAATTTCAAACCTTTTCAGTAAAATATTTCTTATATGAGACAACAATACCAACATCTGCAGGGTCCTCCAAGAAAGCTGAAATTCAAGATAAGCCAAGGGTTTTGCAGTTAGAATCACTGGTAGTAGCAAACCACATTTTAAACAAAGTTTGAATTCAGGGTTTAAGCAGGCAAGCAACAAGCAATAAATTAGGCAAAAGAAGAGATATAATCCTTCAGGAATTCATCATGTCCCCCGACTTGCTATGCTTTTAAGAAGGCAGAGGGTTATTGAAAGAAAGGCTGTTTATGTCCTCTACAATATTTTGAAGAAAATTCTACACAACTTTAGTAAGACATTTCCCAACTAAACGAGGTTGTATAAGCAGCCATGCACTTAAAATTCCCATTAGAGTGTCCTTGCACAGGTCAGTCTCACACCCACCAGAAGGAAAAGCCATAATGTTAGTCTTTAGCTTTCTTTGATCTCTGTTTGCAATCTACTCTAATTCAAAGTATAATTGACAGAGTTCTCAGCATCAAATGCAAAGCCGTGGCTTTCAGATCCACCTGACAAAAATGTAGTAGTTGCAAGAGAATTCAGCTAGCATTATTCAGCAAAGACCGTTTTTATGTTAGGGCTTTAACACAACTAGGACATGAATTGGTTTTTAAAAAGGAGCAAACCTTAGTTAAATATCAAGTATCCCAGTTCAGTTATCTTGTATCATAACTTATGATAAGACTTTCATAATAAATTTACCCATCCTCAAAAGTGTTAGTTTTTAACACTCTCATTTACAGATGGAGGAATCAGCCCAGAGAGCATCTTGCCCAGGGCCACCCAGTAAGACCAGGACTGAGCTGGGATATGAAATGAGAGTTCTAAGATCCAAGCCTAATAAACTATTCACTGGACCACACTGGTTTCGGATCCAGATGCAAGATGAGTCATGACCCAGAAAATAAGCTGAAGATCTTTGTAATAGCTAGAATAAATGAACCATTCATATTTCCTGCAAATAATAAAACAGGCTTCACTTTTTTACTCAGCATGCCAAGTTCAATCCTTCCCCATTTCAAGGCTCCTGTTTTTTAAGGAAAAGGGCACACAGTAAGAAGCACCAATGTTACTGCTTCCAAACCAATTTCTAGAACGTGTGTTTTCCTACATCCTTCTGAGTAGATATAAACATTCAGTAATACTTTTATGCAAAACATACAGGCAGCTAAAGAAAATGTTCCCATCGTATTGTTATTGTTACAGAGCCTCTCTCAGGGAGATGGGCAGTTAAGAAGTGTGAAAATTAAACAAACAAACATTTTATGATTGTGACTAAGAATCATCACTGCCCTTTGTAAGAGATAGGACCATTATTTAAGAGTTATCCCAGCCTTGTGCCCATTAAAATATAAAGCAGACATTTCCTTAGAAGTTTACTGCTGTAACCTCTATATATTGTTATTTGCAAAATGGAAAAATACATTGATCATAATTTAGCAGGTTTGTTTTGAAGTTTATGTCAGTTGCCTTCTAAAATCCTGATGTACAGAGTGATTTTGTTCCCTGAGATTTCTTGGAAACTTTTTTGCAAAAAAGCAAAAGAACTCTATTCCAACCAGAATCCCATGATGGTAATCTTAATGTTCCACTAACTGCAAAAAGTTCAGTCAAAATTTCAACCCAAGGACTTACTTTACTATGTACTTTACTGGTATAATGAAATCTTTTTACATAGAGCACCTTATTGCATTTGAACTACAAAGAAGCCTTTCTTCTGATATAATGGCAGTTATTGCTATTTTGTATTTTTTGTTTGCTTGTTTCATGAAAGGGATAATAAAAGCCAAAACATATAGTGATGCTTCATCTAAGAGAATAATTTGGTAAATAAAAATGTAACATCAATCACTTTAGATATACATTGGAAGAAAACAGCATGAAGATTCTGCCCTCCAACAGATTATTGCAAAAATATCTGAATATAATTTATTTGTAAATACCCATGTTAATTATTAATCCAGCAACGAATCTATAGCATTACTTTTTGTCTTAATTGTAAAGAGCTATGTTAAATAGCATTTATTTAAGCAAATAGCTCTTGGAAGCTTAAAATAGCTTAAATGGCTGCTTACATTTATAATATTTATAAATGGAACATTAAAAATGCAACATGTATATAACAAGACTAAAAAAGTAATATTAACATTTGATCCACTTTGCTGAAAAAAAGTGTTTTGTCTTTAGCTAAATGTAGTTATATTTGTGATATTCTAGATGATTTTAAAAAAGAGCCAATTTGGTGTAATGGTGAAGGTGCTGGCCTAGAACCCAGGAGACTGTGGAAACTAGCTGGATGACTTTGGGTCAGTTATTCTGTCAGTCCAACCCACCTCACAGGGTTATTTTGGTGGAAAATATAGGAGGAGGAAGAGATATCAGGCACGTCTATTACCTTGAGTTATTTATAAAAATAATAAAGGCAGGATAAAAAAATCTAAAACAAGAAATGTGAATGGAAATTACCTAAAAGACATTAATTCCATATGTTGAATCCGCCAATATGCCAGTTTATTAAAGATATAGATTAGTGTCTTGAAAAGAACTACATCACAGAAAAAACAAAAGTATATTTATCCTTTCCTCTCTTGGAGTAAATAGTGATATTTAGTTAAATTTCAAAAGAAGAGGGAAAACAATTAGTTGTGAACAGTGGTGGGATTCAAATGTGTGAACAACTGGTTCTCTGTGCCCCTTCCAGAAGTCCATTCTGGGCCTGGGTAACAAAAAATTAGCTACCAGTTCTGCCGAAGTGATGCGAACCGGCTGAATCCCACCACTGGTTCTGAGGTTTCAGAGTAAAATCACACAGTAGAAAATAATAGTACAATTTCACATAATAATCTAAGTTGCAATTGAAATATTAATATTAAATTAGCCACAATTAAATATGTGTAGTATTAACAAGAAGTCTGGATTATATAGATTATTTTAGGACAGAAAGACGAATGATTAGAAAATTTTGATTTATTTTTTAATTACTCCAAGGGACCAACAACAAAGTTAAAATAACATTACCAATTCTATTAACCTACTAAAAATTCTTAAGAGTTGCCAAAATATTAAGGACAGTTAGAAATCATTATATATCTAATATATTAATGCATAAAGATCAAGGAAAGCTCAAACAGATCTGGTTTCTTTTAGATTTTAAGACACCTAACAAACCTCTAGAATTTATCACATGCAATATTTTCAGTTATTCTGACACCAGGAAGACCATGTGACCAATTTTGTCCTGTTGGGATTCATCAGAAATGAGTGGCCAGATGTTATTTTATGGGGTTCAAATTCTTTATGAGGAACTGAACTCATGAACCTTCAAACTTTAAATGATTATATACAGTACATTAAATTTAGAAGCTTCCAGGTCCTAGTGCTAAATAGTTACAGAACCAGTATAATGTTACTTTTTATATAATAATGTTACTTTTTTAGTCTTGTATATGTAGTAGCTTCCCTTAATCTCTCAGAGCAAAGATATTGATGTTACATTATGTCATATTCCCATTTTAGTATTTTATATGACTTTCACTCTCCATCAGATATGAATAAGCTAGAATCCCATGCATGGGGACATGACATAATGTAACATCTTTATTAAATGAGCATGGTGGCTCATGTGGTTAGGAGGCTAAGTTGGAGGTTAGGAAGCCCACATTCGAGACCCGAGTGCTGCTGTGTGGTGGAGTGAGCTCCCATCAATTGCTCCAGGTCCTTGACAGGGACACAAAAGGAGCCCCCACGGACATCCCTCAGGCAATGGAGATGTCACTGACTAATCCTTTCAACCCAGAAGCGCCTTAAACTATTTAAGCATTCTCTCTTGGAATGCTTATGAGATGGTAGACATTATATAGAATTCTTGTAGCTCATGTGGGATTTTTTATAGGAATAATCAGCAGGACAATTATAAGTAAAATCATTTAGACTAATTTATGTAACCAAACATTAGAGATAAAAAGACTATCACAAAATTATTCAAAGAAGCACACTTTAGTAAGTACTGCTTCGGTAGATGCAATGTCTGAAACAGTAAAAGTCATTTTAAAAATTAACCTTTCTGTGTAATTTAAGGATTTACAAATGACCACACAATTTTATTTTTTCTATAGCCAAAAGGCATAAGATAACTGAGTTTAGGCAGAATATAATTTTTTATCTGGAAAAGTTGATATATGTTCATTATTTTTATAATGAAATATTTATGTACATACCGAGATTTTTGCATTATAAATTTATCCCTTGTATATGTTTTTAAAAAGCTTACTTTTCTTCTGAAGTAGTTTGGGTATCTTGTAATGCCATCTTTGGTTTAGTATTTCCAATTTTTGAAGCCCGTTGTCTTCTTTTTCTACTTGGAACTGTATCAGTAATATCTGGACTACCAAGTAACGTATCTCTTCTGGGTTTGACTGTCAGAACAGAAAAGATAACTTAATAAGTCATGGGATTAAATTATCAATTCTGGGAACATTATGAGAAGATATATGAATAGCAAATGTTACAATTATTGATGCCTTGATAAATGCACATTTATTTCTCTGGACAAAATTTAGGTCATACTATATTCCTCTGCTCCTCCTAACATTTGCTTCTTCTCAGCATGTTAGGCTTGCTCTTTCTCCACTTTATACTAAATCTGGTCTAAACATCTAGCTGACTATGCAGCCAACCATCCATCCATCCATCCATCCATCCATCCATCCATCCATCCATCAATAAATAAAATGTAATCCAATTCCTAAAACTCTGGGCAACTCACAATAACCAAACAAAGGAAATTACAGTAAAATCAGTAAAAGGTAAAAGATGGCAAGTGCAACAGTGCAGATGGAATGGAATAAGGGGTCCCACTTTTTGTTGTCAAACAACAGCAGAACGAGGATCATCCAGATTCAGGAGGAAATTTATTCCAGAGGGCAGCTATTTCTACAGAGAAGGTGTACATCCAGAATCCCGATAAATAACATTGTTTAATCCAAGAATCCCAAGATCTGCTGACCCTGCAAAACTGAAGTGATTTGGGAGATATTATATAAAATAGGCAGTCCCTCAAGTAATCAGGTCCTATGCCACAAAGGACTTTATAGGTAACCACCATCCTCTTGAATTAGATTCAAAAGCAAGTTGGCAATTGGTGTGCCTTGCAAAGCCGAGATATTACATGGGCATACTGAAGCACCCACATCACTGCTCATAATGCTGCATTCTGGACCAGTTGAAACTTCTGTATAGTCTTCTAGGGCAACCCTGTGTGAGTGTGTTGCAGTAGGATGTGAAATGAACATTAATCTAGTTACATACTACTTCCAAGAATAAACTTTCATTTCATTAGCTTAGAGTTCTAAACTTTAAAAAATGCTTACATTATCTCTACAGGTAGCTCTACCATTTTTTTTAACATCTTCAAACCATTTTTTCTTAAAAATATTTCCAAATATCCAAGTGAAGAGATCAAAGTTTGCAAAAGAAAAAGATAGGAAATTCATTTTCCAGATTTCCTTTTTCTGATTTGCAAGGAACCAGCTTGATGGCATACGATCTCATTTTTATGTTTCCCAAGATGCAAATGTTAGAGGAAATAAACTTTTTTCTCCATTTATGAATTGATCCACAGGATTTAGGTTAATAGACAGAACACACATTACTTCAAGCTTTTAAACAGAGGATAATTCCATTACTAGAATAAGTATATTGGTTTCACTATGTCTCATTCCTAAACAAATAAAATATATTGGCGATAATAGTTTCACTTATTAAATTTAAGTTCTCACAGATGCTGTTTGATTTTTCTCCATCATATAAAGAAATGTTTTTTTAGTCATCTCAAGACTTAAAAACTTCAATTCACATGTAATATAAGTACTATAAATTATATACAGAAATTGTATCCTTACACATTTAAAAACAAGATACTTTACATGATATAGCCTAATTATCCCCAAAGGATAATAAAGAATAATCAATATGTGCTTCTGCTCAGAACATTACGAATATTCAATTGATTGTATAGAAAATGTAAATATTATATTTCTTTCAGTTTGGTGTAGTGATTAAGACATCGGGATAGAATCCGGAGACAGTCTGACCTTAGGCAAAGAGCCAACTGCCTTTAATCCAATCACTCTTCCGAAAATTGCAGGGACTTATCCAGGCAGTCATTAGGAATCAAAACAGACTTGAAGCCCCCTCCCCCATACACACACTTATTTCAAGCACAGCAATGACCCAAAGAGTCTATTTTCTTTTATATTAAAGATGAGATTCCATAACTTTTATCAAACTCTTCTTTTCCATTTCATGGACAAGCAGGGAGGGCATGTAATGACTATATAGAAAGAGAAGCAACAATTAATGTTCTATCATGGTGCAGAATACTGCCTGAAATTGTTTGGATCAGAGTCTACTATTTCTTTAAAAAAGAAAAGCCTAAAAAGCCTTTTTTTTTTTGCTTACATAATGTTCATAGAACTATAAAGTTCCATATAATTTGTCAGAGCCAAACTATATCTGTCTAATTGTACTTGTACTCCTTAAGGTCTTCAGGAATAAGTATTAATTTGCCACTTGAAAAATACATTACTTGTTATGTAGTATCTCTTGAAAAGAACAACACAACTTCAAGCGTCTAATTGAAATTAAGCTTACTGGTTTTGGTTAAAACTAGCACAAATATTTAAGGTACTAAATACAACCCTTTCAAAGTAAAAGTATATTTTCTCTAAATATTTCTCTTTTGATAATTGCCATTACAAGCCAAAAATATTTTAAATTATATACAAATTGTTCTATCTTTGGGGAAGAATAAGGAAAACAGATAAAATACTACATTTATTTGCATTATACCCAAATTGAAAAAAAGATAAAATAAATAAATTATAACAACACATCCTAGCCTTGTGCAATAGCAATAGCATTTACACTTATATACCACTTCATAGTGTTTTACAGCCCTCTCTAAGTAGTTTTCCCCCAACAATCTGGCTCCTCATTTTACCGACCTCAGAAGGATGGAAGGCTCAGTCAACCTTGAACCGTGAGAATTGAACTGCTGGCAGTTGGCAGAATTAGCCTGCAATACTATCCCCACCTTTAGGAGATATATCAATCAAACAGGGTTTAAGTAAAACAGGGTTTAAGTAAAATGAATCTTTAGCTCAAAATAAGAAATTATTTTTTTTACTGTACAGTAAACTGTTTCCTGTGAAATGTTGAGTGGTGGAAAAGTAAAAAAAAAATAGAGCTTTTAATGTAACAGGCAGCATCTTAAGAAAATTCCCCCCTCCCCCTTGTATGGTTGTGTGTGTGTGTGTGTGTGTGTGTGTGTGTGTGTATGTTATGTATGTCTGGGTGCAAAGCAAAGCTATCTTCATCACCCCTTTCTGTATAATTAGGCAAAGCTAATGCTCACAAAATTTCTTTTCAAAGCCATCATCACATTTCCCTACAAACTGGATTATTGATTGAATTCTGGGCACAATTTAAGGTGCTGGTTGTCTCCTTTAAAGCCTTGCATGACTTAGGATCGTAACATCTTCAAGATTCCTGTACCCTCTATTATCTGCCTACTCAATTAAATCTAGGAGGAGTGTGCTGTCCAGCTCATTCACACACACATGTAACTGACATCTGGAGAGATATCTGGGGAAGCGTCTGGGGGAGTCATCACAAGGAGTCTCTCTGGACTCCTATGCTAAAAGTCTGTCTGAGACCAGAGGTTGGAGGGGAAGATTTTCTCCATTGTGGCTTCTCTTCTTTAGAACCATATATTGTTGAGATTAAACTTGAATCAATTTTATTAGGATTAAGAAAAACTGTTAGGGCCTAACTATCCAAGAGGCCTTGATGGAATGATGTGACTTGAGCCCTTCTTGGAGTTGATTAGAATCTCTGTTTGTTGAAACTCATTTGAGATAGCAGAATTATTACTTTGAATTTGTTTTAAGTTTTTACTGTACTTAAAAATTTAAACCTATTAATCAGTTCATGATTGAAGCACCTTATAAAGACTGACTAAATAAATAAACAACACCCTTTCTCCTAAAAACTCCTATTTAATCAGAGCTTGGAGGGGAATCTTAGTTTTCTCTTTCTCTTCCATCCTACATCATATACATTCTTGTTTGTTTTACCTTCAAAGTTCTGACAATAATTTCCAAAAGAACAAAAGCTATGGAAAGGGAAGGAAAAAGGACAATGTATTTTTATTATATTCTAAAAGTGCCTCTCTTGAAACCATGTTGATTTATAGGGCTGAACTGGCAGTTTGCCATCTGGCACGAGGACTGACAGACAGGATAGAACAGTGGGGGTTTATTACCTACTTATACACTACAACAAGTCATTATTATTACTATTCCCATTCCACAAATAAGGAACATGGGAGGGGCATGTCTAAGAGGAAAAGGTTACCAAAGACCAGTTCACAAGCTTAAAAGCAGATGAGATAAATATAATAAAGCATCCTGAAGTAAAACTCTGGTTTGGATTTATTCCTAAGTCCAGTTCTGCGCATATAATATAAAGCACAAGTATCATTTTTCTTGCACATATTATTTTGCCTATCTGCACACTTAAGACAGGCTTTATTTAATGGTATCTGGGAATGACATTGTGAGATAGAAGGAAGAGTCACAGATTAGACAATGGTCAGACCAGGAGCAGATGAGACTACAGAAGAACTGGGGGTATGGCAAAAATCTCAGAAGGGACTGACTGTCTAATTTGTTGGTCTATAAAGGGGTGGGGGTGGGGAGATGCACTTTCAGTTTTGCAGAATTCTGTTAATGTAAATTTATAATTATTTTTGGGTAAACATCTTGTCTGGACTAACTTGTAAGGCTGACACTTCATCACTAGAAATTTATATATAAAGATGCACTAAAATTCACATTGAACTGGGCAGTAGCACAGAGCTACATCCCATATTTTGCAACATAGAGCAAAGGGTCTTTCATTTGATTTCTGTCTAGCCCTCTGCATCCTTCTTTGATGTAATCAATAAAGTTAAAGACTTATCATGAAGTGAATCGCTTTAAAAGAACTACTGTATAGAGAAATCAGGAGTTGGAGAAGGGAAAACACCAATCTCTTTTTTTTAAAAAAAAAAACAAATTTTATTGTTTTTTTAATTTCTTAAAACAAAGTATTCAGGACATATCGTATCTATCTATCTATCTATCTATCTATCTATCTATCTATCTATCTATCTATCTATCTATCTATCTATCTACCTATCTATCTATCAATTCTATACATGTCTAATCCATTAGTTAATCAATCTCTTTAAGCTGACAGAATAGTATCAGACCTTAAATCATTTCAATCCATTGAGCAGGATTCAAATTTCATCCAGTTAGTTGTCATAGCTAAACATCCATGTTATACAACAAACAAGTCATCTTATTTAATT